CTGACCAAGTGAGTGTCAAGCTGGCTCCCAGGACAAAAAGAGAGAGCTAGTTTTATTCATGTGAAAAGGTGATGGGGTGGCCTCGAAATTAGAAATAATTGGCTTTAAGTAGATTTTTAAAGATGTTTTTCTTCTCCTGGGCCAGTGCTTTGACCTTGAGGAAGTGGTAGCCGTCTCCCATAGTGATGCTGAGTCCTGCATAAACATCTTTGCCCAGGATGAGGATGAGTTGCTGCTGCTGTTAAGAGAACTCACAGATGGGGAGTGGAAGGAAACACCAACCATGACAGTAACAAGCTACGGGTCCTGGAAATATGTCATTTCAGTGACTTCTCAGCAGTTTTATCCTACATGTTTTTTTTGTCCTTAGAGACCCATAACCCAGGCATCCTGGCTTTAATGGCACCCAGTTTCTGAGGCCAATGAGACTGAGAGGGAGCAAGTGAGGGGCCAGAGGAAAACAGAGCTAACGTGCCATGAGTTCAAGTTCCTCAAGTGCATTAATCCTTTTCAGGGGACAGGGGCTGACTGTCTCTTTCCCCCTAAAGCCTTTACTCTCTTAATGTTAAGGGGTGCTGTTTTTCATGGGGGGTTCCTGGATAGCTCACTGCCACCCACAGAAGCTAGCCTCTGTGGACAAGAAGCATCCTGTTTCCCTTTGACCAGCACTATCCCCACCCCTAGTGATCTTGCTCAGTTCTGCTCAGTCCTTCCTGCTCTGCTCACTGCCATTGGGTGTCAAATAGGGAACCCAAAGAGATCCCAAAAAAACCTCTAGTACATAGCTAGTACACAAAAAGAAAGAATGGGGTGGGTGGGATGGATGAAACACAGAGGAAAGGGGATGGTATGTGAGGTAGCGCTCAAATGGCCCAGGGACAGCTGTGCTAAAAGTGACATCATCTTGACAACCTCTGCCCATTCCAAAGATGCCTTTGAGGAAGAAGGGGCGGGGTCTCTCTGACACCCCTACATCCTCTAAGGAAGGGTCAGTAGCCCAGACATAAGTGGTCTCTGTGGCAAAGGCTTATTCATCTAAAACAAAGAGCAACTGGCAAGCCTCCTGTCTCAGCCTCCTGAGCCACTGGGATTAGAGGCATGCACCACCGTGCCCAGCCCTTTTTACTTTTTGAAACAGGTTCTCATTAAGTTGCTAAGGCTGGCCTTGAATTGGTGAACATCCTGCCTCAGCCTCCTGAGTTGCTGGGATTACAGGCATGTACCACCGCACCCAGTTTGGACTTTATTTTTAAATTCAGTTTTGCCACCAACCCAGTAACTTACTTGGTTCTACATAAATGCACAGAAGATGGTGTTCTCAGCAAGCTCTCAACCATAGTCACCTGTTGGAGAATACAGTACAGGTATAGTGCACACCTGAAATCCCAGTGATCAGGAAGGCTTCTCAGTGGTAGACTGTCCCTGGGTTCAATCCCTAGGGAAGGAAGGAAGGGAGGGGAGGAGAGGAGAGGGGAAGAGAGGAAGGAGATGGTAGCTCAAGTGGTAGAGCACGTTCCTAGAATGTACCAGACCCTGGGATCGATCCCATTACTAAGGAAGAAATATTTTTTTAATTAAACAGAGGAAAAGAAAAAAGACATGCTGGCATAAGCTGGGGGACAACATCTGGGAAACATTTAGGAGAGGAAGAACTGTGGAAGGGCCAGAGATGAGAAGGAAGAAAGAATCTCAGGCCCTGCCATGGCCTGGGTAATTGTCCCCAAAAAGGTTCATATGTTAAAGGGTTTGTCCCCAGCATGGCAGTATTAGGAGGTAGGGCCTAGTGGGAGGTTCCCAGGTCACTACAGGCATATCTTTGGAAGGAGATTGTGAGACCTCAGATTCTTCCTATTTCTTTTTCGCTCCTAGCTGAGGAACTAAGTGATTTTCTTCTGCGTTATACTTCTGCCACAGGCCCAAACCAATGGAGTCAATCAATCATGAACTGAAACCCATGAAACAAACCCACGCTTCAAAACCATGCAGCAAAATAAAACTTCCCTCTGTATAAGTTTATTATCTCAGGTATTTTAGCACAGTAAAGAAAAGCTGAATAATATAGGCCCTGACAGGTGGGCTAGAGAGAACAGAGGACCTAGGGAGTAGGGGGCATTGCAGAAGAGACTCAGGCAAAGCCTAGAAGGGATGCATTACCATCTTGGCGATTTCTTATGTCCTACATCAGAAGAATCAGATAAAGACACAACTGCAAGGAGAATGAGACTCTTTATTGGGACTTCTGCTTGAAACAGAAGGGAGACACAGCACTGACCAAGAGAGTGTCAAGCTGGTTGCTTGAACAAACAAGAGAGCTAGTTTTTATTTCCATGTAAGGATTACAAAGGTGGGCTGGAGTCTAGAAATTTTAATTGGCTTTGGGTACATTTTCTAAGGTATTTTCTTTGTGGGTCCTGTGTGAGCACTTCAACCTTGAGGGAGGAGCAGTCTATTGGTCAGCCTAGTACCAAATATTCCATCTCCCATATTGATGTTGCATCCTGCATAAACATCTGTGCCCTGTGATAAGGATAAGCTACTACAGCTGTTAAGGGAAAAAATACTTGTGAAGTGGAAGAGAACACAAATCATGTAACAAGTTAAGAGTCCTGGGAATTTGCAGTTTCCATGACACCTCAACAGCTTTATCCAGAACTATTTATCCTTAGAGAGTCAGAGTGAGGGTATCCTGACTTTAATGATACACCTGGTTTCTGAGATCAATAAGACTGTTTGAGAGTGCAGCGAGTGACAAGATAGGGAAAGGCTCTTAATAAATAGCAAGCCCTGAGTTAAGATGGGACATCAAGGAAAAGTACACTCCATAATTTTAACAGCTAATAAGCTATGAATTGAGGTCTCTGGAGTACATTCCCCCTTTTCCGGTGGGGGTGGGGGACAGACTGACTGTCCTATTCTTTGCTCAGAGTTTTTATTCCCTTAATCTTAAGAGAACACTGCTTGGGGGTGTTCGGGGGAGGTCCCTGACTGTCTCAGATGGAGCCCTGTCCTGTCTGGGCCCCACGGCTTAAATCTAGATGTTCATGGTAGGATGAGGAGTCAGCTTGGGGATTATGATGAAGGCAGAGGTGACCAGATTAGCTGGCAAATGGAGTGTTACCTAGGTTTCCAGCCTAAGTAATAGGATAATGACTTTGCCGAGGGGAGGTAAGAAGAGGGAGGAGATGTTGGAGCAGGGAATCAGAGTTTAAATTTGGATGCATTTCTGGGAACACTCCGCTGGGGAGTTAAGGAAGCGAAACATATGGGTCTGAGGTCTAAGGAGAGGTCTGAGCTAAAGACCTACATTGTGTAGCTATAGCTTTTTCCCAGAGCTTCCAGAGGGGTGTTCACAAAACTTCCCTTCACACCCCATTTGTATCTGTCTGTCTTTCCCACCTTTATTAGGAACTTCTGAGGGAAGGGGCTTGGAGGCAAAATATCCTTCCTAGAAGACAGATTTTCCTTCTACCTAAAGCTGGGCCAAGTTCAGAGACCCCATGAGGAAGACAGGCCAGGGGAGGGAAGCCCTGGATCCATAACTGTGCCCAGCTAGAGACCTGGGGCCATGAGAGGTGCTCCCAAACTCATCACTAATACAGGCCAGGGGTTGGAGATCTGACCTCCTCTGGTGATAACCAAACACTGGGGGAGAATGGACTATGAGTAGATCACAGAAACCCAGTCAGGTGACCATTGAACATTGCACCATCTCAGACTGCCACCATGGCACACCATACCCTGATCCCACACCCAAACCATTCATCTCAGGATCCTCTAACCCCTCGGAATCTGCTCCATCAGCTACCCCTGGACATCAGCTCCTGGGCAGGTTCTGAAGCCCCAGACAACCACCTGCCGCCCCACCACAGTGTCACACCTTGTCCTTATTACCTCTCTACCTCCAATCCTCCCATCTTCTAGTCCTCCCAATCCCCATGCCCACAAAGCCCTTGAGTCCCAGCTGCACCTGCCTAAGGGCTTCTTCCTGATAAGGAGAAAACATTATGATTTCACCGAAAACACATCCAACAAGCCTCTATCTTCAGTAAGTATTTGGTAAAATTTGGCAAGAGAGGCAGAAAAACAGAGAAACTGTGCAGATTCACATGCCCTTTGGATCTCTGGGGCTTGGAGCTTGGGGACAATTACTAAAGGCCAAGAAGTTGTTTCACTAATTTTATTTATCTATCAATCAGAATGAATTTCTTATGCTTATAAAATTTTTATACATTTTGATTGTTTCCTTAATTCAAGACCCCCAGCCCATGATTGTTCTTCTCTTTAAAAAAAAAAAAGGCAGATAATTCATTTGTGAGGTTTTTAATTTTTTTCTATTTATGTGATTGTTTCTAAATTTAAAATGGAGGATTGTCATAATCGATGATCCTGTGTATCCAGTAAAAATTTTAAAGTCTATTTTCAGGATTAATTGCCAGTCTTCCTGGGAAAGAGATGGCCCAGAAAGCTCCCCAGCGCATGGTCTCCTGGGACAGTAGCTGACACCATTTTACAACCCCTAATAGAAAAACAGAGCTGGGCAATGGTCATCAACAACTGTCAACTAGAATTATACACTTCCTGATGAAAAAACACAACACAACACTACTTATGACATATCCTGTCATAAAATAGACCCTGAGTCATTTCAAGTCTTTAAAATCTAACAGAAAGAACAGGGGAGGCAGAGGAGCATGATAAATGATAATGGATGCAATTAGCAAAATTTAGAATGTGGAAAATCCTATAATACGACATTTCTTCAACAAATATATGTGGGGGGATTAAGAGAGACTTAAGCTCCAAGCTCTAATTTTCCGGGGGGAAATGGCCAGCATCTCATTGAGGGGGTTCTTCTGCCCAGAGGATTCCAAGCCACCCTAAATCTTAATATGTCAAGTAATTAACAAATAATAAAACACAAACACTCAGAAATATATTTACAAACAGCGAAGTCCCTGATAGATCTAGTCCACATGAGTTCTTGAAGTAGACAAAGAGAAAATGGCTCTGGTGGTTTATTTAAGGGGGTACATCAAAGGCAGGGATAAGTTTTCAAGGGTGAGTCTTGCTTCAGTGATGTCTTGCAGTCAGCAGGTTGATTGACATCTCGGCAAGTCACACTCATCTCAGGTGTTGTGTAGAATCTTAGGCAGAGCTTGAAGGGGAAGTTCACCTGCTTCAGGCAGTCAATGCCTATGGGGGTTGCTCAGGAAGGTCCCAGGGCCAGACTTATCTCCTCAGGAGGATACTAGCAACATAGTCCACACACAGCCCACAGATGGCTAATCACTAGGAAAACACCAAATTCCAAAAGAGGACATCCTATAAAGTGTTTGACCAGTACTCCTCTAAATTATCAAGGTCAGAAAAATCAAGGAAACTTTGTAAAACTGTCACAGGCAAGAAGAATCCAAAGACACTGGACAAATATACATAATGTGGTACCTTGGATGAATCCTGGAACAGATAAAGGACATTAGGTAAAGACTAAGACAATCCAAATAAAATATTGACTTTAATGATAATTATCAACATTGATTTATTAAGTATAGCAAATATACCAAATTCATGTGAGATGTTAGTAACAGGGGACACTGGACGCAGAGTACACAGAAACACTGTATTATCTTCTCATTTTTTTCTACAAATTGAAAACTATTCTAAAAAATAAAATATATTTAAAAGAAGAGAGACAGAGCTCAGTGACTCAAAAAGCTAAGGCAGGAGATCATAAGTTTGAGGCCAGCCCCAGCAACTTATGAGACCCTGTATCAAAATTTTTTAAAAAGTAAATATTTTAAAAAGGACTGGGGATGTAGCTCAGTGTTAAAGCGTCCCTGGATTCAATCCCTAGTACCAAAAGAAAAAAAGAACAGAGACTCAAGAGACATATCAGCTTAATACAATGTATGATTCTTTCTTTGATCCTGATTCAAACAAACAGTGGTGTATGTGTATATGTATGTCTATTAGACAATTTGGGAAATTTGAACTTTGCTTATTTTGAGATAAGAAGGAATTATTGCAAATTCTAGGAGCAATAATAATATTGTGGTTGTATTTATAAAGAGTTCTTACGTTGTTGTTGTTGTTGTTGTTGTTGTTGTTTTGTTTTGGGTACTGGGGATTGAACTCAGGGGCATATGACCACTGAGCCACATCCCAAGCCCTACTTCTAATTTAGAGACAGGGTCTCACTGAGTTGCTTAGCACCTCACTTTTTGCTGAGGCTGGCTTTGAACTCATCAGCCTCCTGTCTCAGTTTCATGAGCCACTGGGATTATAGACATATGCCACCACACCCCTCTGACTCCTTACCTTTTAGAGATACTGAAATACTAACATTAGAAATTATATGTCTAGGGGCTGGGCACTGTGGCGCAGGCCTGTAATCCCAGCAGCTCAGGAAGCTGAGGCAGGAGGATCAAAAAGGCAGTCTCAGCAATGGCGATGCAGTAAGCAACTCAGTGAGACCCTGTCTCTAAATAAAATACAAAATATGGCTGGGGATGTGGCTCAGTGGTCAAGTGCCCCTGAGTTCAATTCCCAATAGCAAAACCAGAAAAAAAAAAAGAAATGAAATATCTAGAATTTGTTCTAATAATCTAGGATGGAGTGTGAGAGTAGAGATGGAACCAGAGGGGGCTGGGGATGTGGCTCAAGCCTGGGTTCGATCCTCAGCACCACATACAAATAAAGATATTGTGTCTGCCGAAAACTAAAAAAAAAAAATTAAAATTCTCCCCCCCCTCTCTCCTTAAAAAAAAAAAAAGAGAGAGAGAGAGATGGAACCAGAGTATTCCTGAAATAATAATTTATTACATCTGGATGATGGGTATGTGAGAGTTCTTTGTTTAATTGTCTCAGCTTATGTGTATGTTTGAGTTTTCTGTGATAAAATTTTTAAAAGCCTCATATGCTCTCCTGCCATATATCTTTCCTCAACTCTCCATAACAAAATTCTTGAAGATATTTCAAAATATAAAATGTCTGTACACCTATCCTCTTACAGATTTATTGAGGCACAATTTATATCTCACAAAATTTAACCATTTTAAGTACACAATTCAATGAATTTAGTATATTCATAGTGTTGTGAAACTATCACCATAACCTAATTTTAGATTATATCACCTCCAAAAGAAACCTTACGTTGGAGCAGGGAGTATAGCTCAGTGATAGAACACTTATCTAAGATGCATGAGGCCCTGAATTCCATGTTCCATACCAAGCACTGAAAAAGAAGGAAAAACCTTGTGCTCATTTGCACTCATGCCCCATTCCAACCCCCATAGCTAGGCAATAGTTAATCTTTCTGTCTTTGTAGTTTTGTCTATTATGATCATTTAGTGTAAGTGGAATCATACAATATGTGATCTTTTTACTCAGAACTCTTTCACTTGGCATGTTTTTTAGGCACATTTACATATCAGTACCTCATTCCTTTTTATTGCTAGTTTCATTGTATGGATGTACCATATGCTGTTCACCAGTTCACCAACTGATGGATATTTGGGCTGTTTCCATTTTATGGATGTTGTAAATAATACTGCAATGAACATTATTATACATGTACCTATGTGGACATATACTTTCATTTTTCTTGGACAATATGGAATTTGTGGGCCTTGTGGGAAATCTACAACGAACATTTTAAGGATTTGCGAAGCTGGTTTTCAGTTCCAGGACAAGATGGGATAAATGCACTTCTGATTCTTCCTAATAAATGCAACCACAATCCTGAATTTTATATATAAAACAAATAAAAATAAAATTGAGATGAGAAAACAGACTGGCTAAGAATCTCAAGCTCCAAAGAATATGATGGTGAGGGGCTGGGGATGTGGCTCAAGTGGTAGCGCGCTCGCCTGGCATGCATGCGGCCCAGGTTCGATCCTCAGCACCACATACAAAAAGATGTTGTGTCCGCTGAAAACTAAAAAATAAATATTAAAAAATCTCTCTCAAAAAAAATTAAAAAAGAATATGATGGTGAGTTTTCTGAGTTTTGTTTTTACCTCACATATATGGAACTGGGTACTGGAAAAGCCAGCAACCAGGAAATTTCAACAGGCACAGGAAAAAAAAGAAAAAAAAAAAAACTTTAACCAAATAATCAAGAAACAGACATCCTGACAATATAGAAAACTTGTAGAAAATTGCTGTCTACCTGAGGTAAACACCATAGTGGTAGGGGAGATCTTCACCTCACCTTCCAGGAAGGCTGAATGGGAAGTTTAGACATGACAATTTAGATGTTGACCCTCACCCAGCTGAAGTACCCCTCCCCACTGCTGGCATGGCATCAGAGAAGACCAAGTGGAAAGCCAGGATTATCAGCCCTGCCTGATGGCACCAGACTTCTCTCCATCATGTTTCTAGGGACTAATTGGGAAGCTGAAATAAGGGACCTTACACTTTCTCAGTCAATGTATGTCAGCAGAAGCCTACCCCTCCTGACTGCAATGCATCAGAACTCTCTTTCCTACACTGGCACGATGTCAGAAGACACCTGCTAAAACAGTTTTAAGTAGATCCAGAGTCTCATAATATCCAAAATGTCCAGGACACAAGTGAAACTCATTTATCATACCAAGAATGAGAAAGATCTCAAATAAAATAGGAAACAACAATTGACCTAAAATTCAAGATGACCTAAAAGATGAAATTATCTGATACATCTAAAGCCGACAGGTACTTTGAGGAGAGAGGGGAGATTGAACTCAGGGTCACTTAACCACTGAGCCACATCCCCAGCCCGTTTTAAATTTTTTATTTTGAGACAGGGTCTCTCTACATTGCTGAGACTGTCTTTGAACTCATGATCCTCCTGCTCTAGCCTCCAGCTGCTGGGACTACAGGCATTCACATCCAGGCTCGGCACAGACTAGTATTTTAAAGCAAGTATTAAAAGTGCTTCTCCAAGAATTGTGGCATATGCCTGTAAACCCCGCTTCTCTTGAGGCTAAGGCAGGAAGATTGCAAGTTCAAGCCCAACCTGAGCAATTTAGCAAGATCCTATCTCAAAATAAAAAAGGGCTGAGGATGTAGCTCTATGGTGAAGTGTCCCTGGATTCAAGCCCCAGTACAAGAAAGGAAGGAAGGAAAGAGAGAAAAGAAAAATACTTCAATAAAGCCAGGTTAAGTGGCCCATGCCTATAATCCAGATACTCAGGAGGCTGAGGCAGGAGGATCATAAGTTCCAGGTAGCCTTCACAATTTAGAAGCCCTGTCTCAAAATAAAAACAAAAAGGGTTGCATCTGGATTTAGTAGTAGAATACTCCTGAGTTCAATCCCCAGTACCAGAAAGAAAAAATAAAATAAAATGCCTCAACAAGTACTTATAAACTCTCTTTAAATGAAAAACATAAATAATATTGGCAAGGCTGGGGATGTGGCTCAAGTGGTAGCGCGCTCGCCTGCCATGCGTGCGGCCCGGGTTCGATCCTCAGCACCACATACAAACAAAGATGTTGTGTCCGCCAATAACTAAAAAATAAAATAAAAAAAATAATAATAATAATATTGGCAAAGAAATAAGATATAAAGGATAACTAAATAGAAATTTTAGAACTTAAAAATTCAGTAATCAAAATTAAAAACTCAGCAGAATGGAAAGTATAAAGGAAAAATAAAGTGAACTTAAAGATGGAAGGTATACAGGGCTAGTGTTGTGGCTCAGTGGTAGAGCGTTTACCTGGCACCTGTGAATGTTCTATCCTCAGCACCACATAAAAATAAATAAATAAAATAAAACTATTTTTAAAATGGAAGATATAAATTAATCTGGACTGAAAGAGAGAAAATAGACTGAAAAAATGAACAGAGGTTCAGAGATTTGTTGGACTAACAAAAAAGTAAACATTCACATCATAAGAATCTCAGAAGGAACTGGACACAGTGGTTAGATACCTGTAATCTCAGCTATTCTGGAGTCTGAGGCAGGAGGGTTCAAAGTTGAAGCCAACTTAGACAACTTAGTAAAAACCCATCTCAAAACAATTTTTTTTAAAAAAAAGTCGGGGGCACGCTCAGTGGTAAAGTGCTTGCTTAGCATTTGCAAGGTGCAGGGTTCAACTCCTGGTACCGCAAAAAAAAAAAAAAAAAAAAAAAAAATCACTGAAGGAGAAGAAAATAATGGAACTCTTGTTCCATTAAAATAAATAATGGCTGAAAAGCTCCAAGATTAGATAAAAGGTAAGAGTTGGGGATATAGCTCAGTGGCAGAATACCTTGTCTAGCACAAATGAGGCCCTGAGTTCAATCTCCCTTCTGAAAAACAAAACAAAACCAAATTAGGCAAAAGATATAAACCTATGGATTTAAGTGGTGGAGACCCTGACAAGCTAAATTTTATGTGTTTATTGGTCATTTGTATATCTTTTGGGGGAAATGCCTATTCAAATCTCATGCCTTTTTTGTTTGTTTTGTTTTTTGTTTGTTTGTTTGTTTGTTTTTGAGACAGGGCCTTGCTAAGTTGCTGAGGCTGGCTTTGAATTTACAATCCTCCTGCCTCAGCCTCCAGAACCACTGGAAACAGGTTTTTGCCACTGCACCTAGCTTCTTGCCCATTTTTAAATGATCATTATTGAGTTATAAGAGTTCTTTTTATATTCTGGATAAAAGTCCCTTAGCCAATATATGATTTGCAAATATTTGTTTCCCATTTTGTTGTTTATCTTTTCATTTTCTTTATGGTGCCTTTCAGAGCATCAAAGTTTCCAATATTAAAAAAAATGTATTTTTAAAATTGTATTTATTTGTTTGCTTGTTTATTTATTTTTACTGGAGATTAAACCCAGGGACACTGAATTAGATCCCCAATTGTTTTTATTTTTTATTTTGAGACAGAGTCTCACTAAATTGCCCAAGGTGACCTCGAACTTGTGATCCTCCTGCCTTAGCCTCCAGAGCCACTGGGATTATAAGTGTATGCCACTGAGCCCAAAGTTTCTAAGTTCAATGAAACCCAATTATAAATATTCTATTTGATTGCTGTACATTTTCTATCATGTGCAAGAAATCATTTTCGTAATAACCCAAGATCATGAATATTTACTCTCAGACTTTCTTCTAATAGTTTTATAGTTTTAGCTCCTTCATTTAGGTTTATGGTCAACTTTGAGTTAATTTTTAGATATGGTATGAGGTTAGAGTCCAAATTTATTCTTTTGCATGTGGAGACACAACGGTTCCAGTACTATTTGTTGAAAAGACTTCACCACCTTGAGATACCTGGGTACCTTTTTAAAATTAATTAGTCATAAATCAATTCTGTTGCATTTATCTATGTGTCTAACCTACCAATATCATGCTGATTTCCATAGTCTTATAGTAACTTTCAAAATTGAGAAGTGCAAGTTTTCTGTTGTTCTTTTTAAAACTGTTTGGCTATTCTAGATCCTTAACATTTTCATATGAACTTTGTTATCAACTTGCCAATTTCTGAAAAAAAAAATTAAATCAGCTGGACTTTTGATAGGAAACACATTGAATCTTTAGATCAATTTGTTTAGTATTAATAATAGTAATAATAGTAAGTCCTCTTACCTAGGAAAATGGAATGCTCATTATTTCAGTATTTTAATTATTTTCAGCAATGTTGTATAGTATTCAGTGAATGAATCCTGCCATCTTCTATTAAATTTATTCCAGAGAAATTTATTCTTTTGATAATATTGGAATGGAATTGTTTTCTTAATTTCTTGGTTTTTACTGCTGTTTTTTGTACTGGACACTTTACCACTAAACTACATTCCCAGCCCTTTATATTTTTTATTTTGAGACAGAGTCTCACTAAGTTGATTAGGGTCTCACTAAATTACTGAGGCTGGCCTCAAACTTGCAATCCTGCCTCATCCTTTCGAGTCCCTTGGATTATAGGTATAAGCCACCATGACTGGCCTTAATTTCATTGTTAAATTGCTAGAACATGGAAATATACTTGGACTTTGAGTATTGATGTTGTATCCTGAGAACTTGCTAGACTTTTTCATTAGTACTAAGAGTATTTGGAGGGATTTGTTAGAATTTTCTGCATGTAATATCATGTCATGTGCAAAGAAATATAGTTTTACTTCTTCCATAGCCTTCCTTTTCATTTTCTCCATTCCAATCTGAATGCTTACACTGTCTGGTGTACACTCCCCTACAATATTAAAGAGATCTTTGTTCCCAAGTATAGGGGTAAAACATTTGGTCTTTCACCTTTAGGTATGTGATATTAATATTTTCATAAACACACTTTCCCAAGTTGAGTAAGTTCCCTTCTATTTGTAATTTTTCAGGTTTTTATCATGAACAGGTATTGGGTTTTATCAAATGCTTTTTCTGTACTTACTGAGATGATTATGTTATTTTTGTCCTTTATTCTAACAAATTTGGTATATTACTTGATTATTGGATGTTAATTACTAATTTGATATATTTACTTCTTTTTTATTAGTTGTTCATGATAATACAATGATCTTGACATATTATACATTTGAATCAAATGGGGTATAATTTCTCATTTTTCTAAGTGTACAGGTTGCAGAAACACATTGGTTATACAGCCACGTACATACATACAGCAATACTAGTGTCTATTTTATTCTGATGCCCTTCCTATCCCCCTTTCCCCTCCCCTCCCCTACAATATATTTACTTCTTATAGGTCTATTCAGATTTTCTTTTTTCCCCTTGAATCAATGTTAGCAACATGTGTTATTCTAGGAAATTGTCTATTACATCACTTCTAATATGTTAACAAATAATAGTTGATGATTTTCTCATGTTACATCAGTATTGATGTCCCCCCTTTCATTCCTGATTTTAGTAATTTATGTCTTCTCTTTTTATTCATCAAGCTAACTAAGGAATTATCAAAATTGTTAACCTTGACAAAAAGACAGCTTTGGGACTCATTAATTTTCTCTATTATTTTTTATTTTCTCTTTTATTTATTTTCACTTTAATACTTATTATTTCCTTCCCATGGCTTGCTTTGGGTTTACTATGTGTTCTTTTTCCAGTTGTGTGTGTGTGTGTGTGTGTGTGTAGGTATGTGTATATGTATATAAATATATATATATAAATACCTTTATTTTATTTATTTATTTTTATGTGGTGCTGAGGATCGAACACAGGGCTGCATATGTGCTAGACGAATGCTCTACCTCTGAGCTACAACCCTAGCCCTTTTTCTAGTTTCTTAAGGTAGAATTTTATATTATTATAATCTTTATTCTTTATTTTTTTTCTAACAGGTATTACCAACTATAAAAAGTTTCTATAAACAGTTTTATCTGTATCTTGAGAATTCTGGTGTGTTTTTTTTTCATCCAGCTCAAAATATTTTCTAATTTGCCTGTGATTGCTTCTTTGATTTGTTGGTTGTTTAGAAGTGTGTGTGTGATTTTTGCATATTAGAATTTTCCCAAATTTGCTTTCATTGTTTATTTCTAATTCTATTGTGATCAGAGTACATATTTTGCATGATTTCAATCCCTTTAAAATCATTGAGACTTGTTTTATGACTTAGCATATGGTCTAGCTTGGAGAATGTTCCATGTGCACCTAAAAAAAAATGTTATACTCTGCTCTTTTTTGGTAGAGTGTTTCAGAGTTCTCCATTAGAGAATTTAATTGATGTGTTGTCCAGTCCTTAGCTCTCAGCCCTCTTTGTAGACTGAAGATAACTGCCTCCCCAAAGTCACACTCTTTTCAGAGTCAAACCACCTCACAGCTGAATAATGTGTGGATGTAAAGGCCTGGCTACCTCATCCCAACTCCAGATTAAATCTCAATGTCTGCTTCCCAGAGACCCAACCTGCATATCCCTAATTCAGTCAAACCATGACAACCCCGGTTTCAAAACATATTTTGTATCAGACCTCTTCTCACCTTGCCACCATCATTTTTCATAGGTCACCATGTAGGGAATGGCTTGGGCTAGGGGTTGGGGGAAACATGGAAGCAAGGAAACCAGGTGGGATACTATTGCAATATATCCAGTAGGATTTGGTGGTGGTGTGGTGAGTAGCTGTCTGATTTAGAATTTATTTTGAAACTAAAGTGGACATCTCTTATTGACCTCCCAATTTAAAATAACCCCAAAGTCATTCTTTCTTACCCTTCTTTATATTACCTCATACTCCTTATAACTATCTAATACTATATTTTACATTTACTTGCTGTCTGTCGTTTTGTTCACTACTGAAAATTCAGAGCATAAAACAGTGCCTGGCATACAGCAAGTGCTCAACAAAGAATTTTTGGATGAATAAATGAGCCAATCACATGCAACAGTACTTCTTGAAAGTGGCATTGAATGTGGTAAGTAAAGGCATACAGGAATGTCTGGATGTGTGGTTTCTGGTGCAATCCCAAGTAGAAACTTATTTTCCAGTCATTCTCACATTATTTTTTAAATGACAAAAAATATAATTCCCACTAAGATAGATGGTGCTTCCAGGTAGAAAGAACATGGGTTTGGAAGTAAATACCCTCTGTCTGAAACTCAGTAGCTACATGACCTTGGGCAAGTGACTCAACTGCTTTGAGCCCCACATATCACTGTAAATGGAAGTAATAATATTCTGCTCCTGAAGGTTTTTAGGTTTTTATTTGCAGTATTAACGATTGAACCCAGGGTCTTGTGCTTCTGGGGGTATTTTAAATGCGATAGTACATGGTCAATTGAGGTTCCGCTTCACACAAGCCTAAAATAAGTAAATAAAACATAAAAATATCTCTGCCTTTGGGGAACTGCCAGTCATTAAATAAGAAAAATAAATGAAATATATAACATGCTAGTTAGATGGTTAAAAAAAAAAGTAGCAATAAAAAGAAGAACCAAAAGGGATGGGAAACATGGGAGAGAACTTCCAATTTGGGAATAGGATAGACAAGGAAGACCTCCAAGAAAAAGTGTCTTTTGTGGAGGAAGGAGTAATGCAGATAGGTGGGGGAGGAGAAGATCCAAGCAGCAAGAAGAGCAAATGTAAAAGCCCTGGGATGTGCATGAACCTGTTTAAAGAACAGTGAGGAGGCCAGTGTGGCACAATGAATAAGAGGAATAACTACAGTTAGCTCAGAAAAGTAAATGGGGCAAGGAGTGATAGGGTGGATGTGTAGGGCCTTGAAGGCCCTGAAAGGAAGTTAGCTTTACTCTGAGTAATTAAAGAATTTTGAGCAGAGAAGTTACATGATCTAACTCACATTTTAACAGATTCATTCTGGCTGCGGTGTAGATAAATGGCCAAAAAAAGCAAGGGCAGCAGTAGGGGGAAAGGAGATGCAAGAGATGAATCTGGATACATTTTGAAGGTAGAAACAATGGGATTTAAGACAGATTGGAAGCCAGATGCAATGGCACATGCCTTTAATTCCAGCAACTTGAAAGGCTGAGGCAGGAGGATCACGAGTTCAAAGCAAGCCTGGGTAACTTAGTGAGGTTCTAAGAAGCTTAGTGAGACTCGATTTCTCAATAAAAAGGGCTGGGGATATGGCTCAGTGGTTATGTGCCCCCTGCATTCAATCCCCAGTACCAAAAAAAAAAATCGCAAGAACCATTTCTATCAGTAGGAAGGAGAAGGTTTATAATGGAAAATCAGATCAATTTTGAGCAAATTGGGTTTAAAGTACTCACCAGACATTGGAAGTACAAGTCTGGAATTCCAGGGAGTGGTCTGATCTAGAAATAGTAATTTGAAGTTGTCAACACAAACATGGTCTTTGAAGAAACTATTTAAATCTGGTGGGGAACCATGAAACTGTATGAGATCACCTAGGGACAGAAAAAGAAAAGATCCAGGAATTGAGGCATGAACACTACCACGTAAGAAGTCTGGGAGACCCAGCAGCTCAGGAGGCTGAGGCAGGAGAATCACGATTTCAAAGCCAGCCTCAACAAAAGCAGGGCGCTAAGCAACTCTAAATAAAATACAAAATAAGGCTTGGGATGTGGCTCGGTGGTTGAGTGCCCTGAGTTCAATCTCTGGTACTGCCCCTGTAATGCCAGATTCATGGGACCCCAATAGACCTCCAGGAGCCGAATCCGATGCAATCACACAAGAGTCTCTATTGCAAGCCTGGACTCAACAACCGTTCCCGACACAGCGGTCCTGAGGAGTGAGTCCCGGTCCTTTGTTCAATGAGATTTTATAGGTTTTGGGGGATACTCTATGTGTCATAACATCATATAGAAAATCATTTCACACCGAGGGAAAGTCAAACAACAATTAACATTGATTAGCACATTCACTGGGGGGAACAAGTTGAGTAGGAGTGTTTGGTTAGTAAAAGAGGAGGATTCCTTTGAACTGATTGTTTTAAGCCATGAGGGGTGTTTGTGCTAAACTACATGGTTTCCCAACATGTTATCAACCACCATAAACTACTGGGGGGGTCATCTGGCATCCCAGGTATTTTCCCTGTCTCATGCTGATTGGTGGCTGCTAGAGGGTTGCTATGGGTCCTCACCTAGCCTGACTGAATCAGGGACACCTGGCTCTGCAGATCTCTCCTGTTATTTTCAGACAAACAACTCAGCAGGGTGGATATGTGCCTAGGAGCTCTCTGTGGGTTTTTCCAAGGACAAGGGTCACACCCCCTTCGTTGGACAGGCTTTGAGGTAGAAGCTGTTTTCAAAACTGGAGTCACATCAGTTTCTCACCCCCCCACACACACACCAAAAAAAGAAAAAGAAGAAGAAGTCAGGGAGAGGAGGCCAGAGTGGTGGTACATGTAAAATATTCAGGAGGCTAAAGCAGGAAGATCTTGATTTTGAGGCCAGCCTTGGCAACTTTGTGAAATCCTGTCTCAAAATAAAAATTTAAAAGGACTGGGGATATAGCTCAGTGGTAGAATGTCCCTGGGTTTGATCCTCAGTATGAAAGAAGGAGAGAGAGAGACAGAGGAAGGAAGGAAGAAGGGAGGAAAGAAGGAAAGATTGATTTATCAGCATGGGGTCAATTTTGCTTATTTTTATATCTATGGTGGGCTGTTGTCTTCTTTGTGTTTAGTCACATTATCAGGGCCTAGCTCAAAGACTGATCCTCTGAAGGTCAGAACCTGAAGTATGCATGATTGACAGGTTATCCCACTCAGGAAATATACACTGAAAGAGAAGTCAGTTGAGCAAAATGAACCTCTCTTTGAAGGGATATTATAAGGAAAGGGGTCATTTTCACCAGAGAGAACTTTGTGCCCCTGCCATGCTGTAGATCACTTTAATGACCATACCATCATGGTTAGCATCAACCTCTGGGAAGCCTTTATGAAGGAAAAGCAAGCTCTTAGGCAAGTCTCCATATTCTTTGGGGATGTAAGGTCCTAGAAGACAGTGAGTGTGTCTGAGACCCAGGAACAGCAGGTTCATACTGCCTGACCTCAAGCAGGATAAGCAAAGAATGAACCAAGCACCTTCCTGACACTATCCTTAAACAGTTTCTGCCTTACACCACTCCTGGTTCCCCTTCCACCTAACAATGTCTCTGTCTCCATTGCCAATTCTTCTTTTTCCCAAGCTCTAGCCGAGTGCCCCAGCCTCCTTCTCTAAAATGCTATGAGGTCAGCAACACAGCAGAAATGGCAAGTTCAGTTCTTTCCACCCAGGTTTTTTCTTTGTGGTTCCATGAGAAGCCTAATGTTTCTTCCTATTTTCCTTTTGCTACTCATCAACACCAAATCCCCCAATCAGAAAATCAAAGAGGGCAAAAGGAGGGGTTTTTCACACCAGGTTTCCCCTTCCCAGATCCCTATACCCTTGGCTCCTCAGCTGCTGCCTCAACTAAGGAGGTGATACAAAAATGGCTTTACCAATAACACAATGGGCCTAAAGCACAGACAGGAAACTCACAAAAGAAGAATCATGAATCATCATTACCTAGATGAAAATGTTAACCCTAACAACAAAATACTTCTTTTTTTTTTTTTTTTTTTTTTTTGTACTAGGAATTGAATCCAGGGACACTCTATCACTGAGCTACATTCCAAACCCTTTTTATATTTTATTTGAGACAGAGTCTCACTAAGCTGCTCAGGCAGGGCTTGAACTTGGGATCCTCCTGCCTCAGCCCCTCAAGTAGCTGAGATTCTGGGCATGCACTATCATGCCCAGCAACAAGATATAAATTTAAAGCAATAATGATATGCCATTTTGCCTAATACCTAGGGTTGAAAAGAGTAAGGACATATATATAGACCTTGCTGACTGGAATATAAAGTCCTGCACTGATCTTTGGAGAATGATATTGGCCACACTTAAGGACCAAGAGTTTTGACCCAGGAAACAGACAACCACACAAATTATGTAGATTCAAGAATACTTACTGCAAAATAGTTTATATATTTTTAAAAATTGACACCCACCTAAATGTGTTACAATAGGAAATTGGTTTAAATGAATGAGGGGGTTCATCAAATAGTGGTATACTAGGCAACTATTAAGAATGATGGCGGGCTGGACATATTGCTCATTAGTAGTGCACATGCTCACCATGCCTGAGGCTCTGGGTTCAATACCAAGCATCAAAAAATGAAAAAATAATAAAATTCAGACTTACTCAAGCTATCTACAAAATAACTGACCTATATTCTTTTTTAAATTGATACATTATAGTTATATATAATAGAATTTTTGATGGCATATTTGTACATGCACATCACATAATTTGATCAATCTCATTTCCATTACTTTCCCTCTCTCTCCTCTCTTCCTTCCCATTGATCTGCTTGCTCTACTTTACTGATCAATCTTCCATCTATTATTAATAATTATTATTATTACATTATAATTATAAGTGGGATTCATTATAGCATATTCATAAATTAACATATAATAATTTGGTAGATTTCATTCCCTAGTACTTCCCCAGTCCCTCCCCCGACCCTTGATCCCTTTTCTCTACTCTGTTGGTCTCCTTTCTGACCTGTATTCTTTTAAATGTCAACATCATGAAAGGCAAAGTGAGTCTGAAGAAACATACCTACATTAAAGGAATGTAAAAAGACAAATACTAGCCGGGTGCGGTGGTCCCTCCTATAATGCCAATGGCTCGGGAAGATTGCGAATGGTTGAGTGCCCCTGAATTCAATCCCAGGTACCCAAAACAAAAAGACTTAAATACTAAATACAATATAATGAGTGATTCTACATTAGATCCTGGGCCTAGAAATAAAATTTTTATAAAGGGTGTTATTGGGCAATTAGCAAAATTTGAATATGGATTGCAGATTAGAACACTGTATTATATCAATCTAAGTTTCTTAAGGTCACTTCATCTTTTGCCCACCAGTATTAGCGATTGAACCCAGGTACACTCTATCACTGAGCTATATCTCAAGCTCTTTTTATTTTTTATTTTGAGACAGGGTCTTGCTAAGTTTCTGAGGCTGGCCTCCAACTTGAAATCCTCCTGCCTCAGTCTCCTGACTAGCTGGAATTATGGGCATATACGACCCAGCCTGGCTAAATTTCCTTATTTTGATAATTGTAGTGTATTATATAAAAAGATGTTCTTGTCCTTAAGAAATTCATGCTGATGGGTTTAGAGGTACTGGCCTTGTGTGTGACTTAACTCTCAAAGGATTCAAGAAAAAAATGCTACTAATGTGCATTTATAGAGAAATAATGATAAAGCATATGTGGTCAAATGATATCCATTGGTGAATCCAAGGGTAGGGTATCCAGGAATTCTTTTTAGTATTTTTGCTGCTTTTATATAAGCTTTAAATTATTTCAAAATAAAAAGTTTAAAAAGAAAAAAAGAAAGGGAGGGAGGGAGGAAGAAAAGAAGGAAGGGAGGGAGGGAGGGAAGGAGGGAAGGAGAAAGGGCGAGGGAGAGACAAATGGCACCGATGATGTATATTCCTTGGCAAGAGAGGTGTTCAGAACACTCCAGAATGCAGCCCAGGTCAACACTGGGTGTGTGCGGCTGCCGAGACACCTCCACAACCCTGGACTCTTGCTCTCTGTGCTACTAGAGGAACTGAGCATGCAGTTGACCTCAAAGCTCTCCTGGGCTGACTTAAGAAGATGGAATGAGACTTCAAGGCAACAAATTTCCTTTTGTAGTTTTATTTACTCCAATTTTATATTATACATCCCAGAGATCTCCACAGTAGAGGGAAGCAGAGATGGAAGGAGTAAAAGCTACCCAAATTCAGTATTTGCTACAAATAATTCAGAATGAAAAAGTTAGAATTTTAAATTTAGAATAGATGATAGAATATACTAGAATTTAGGAAACACTATGTTCATTTATCATTGATGATGACAAATATGAAGGCCAAGATTTCCTCCTAAAACCAGCTGAGTATCTTGCCCATTCCCCAGAAGGAGGGGAAAAAAAGAGTCCCCACAAGGACCAAGGTGAGGTCCAGAGGTCCCTGGGTCTTTTCTGCAAGGTAAATGGTTTCAAATCATGACAAGTTGCAGGTCCTCTGAGAAGCATCTGTACTCATGAGGCAAGTTAAGCATCATCTCTTGGGAAGAGGAACAGGGAGATCCCTCACTACCCCACACCTCTGCTTCCAGATCCTTCCCCTCTGGAGGCTCAGGGGTAGCCACCTTGCAATTCTCTTCTCTAGAAAGGAGAAACCAGATTCACAAACAGAAGAACTGAGACTACCCCCCACCAGGGGCCTCAGAAACCAAGCCAGTTCTCCCCTCCTATCTTCACCTGCCATTCATTCATACCGTCCTACTTCTCCCACTTCCCCAGGGGTTGTCAGGGACAGAAGGCCCCTCCTTCATCCCCCTCAATGTTCCTCCAACCCCCCCACACCACCATTCACTAGGGTGTCCAGGACATTGTGTGACTCAGGAAACAGCTCAGACATTAGGCTTGCAGCAGGCTGAAGAGGACAAGGAAAGGGCAGTGTGAGCCAAGGAGGTGGCCCTGCCACAGTGAGGGCTCTGAAAGTCCCTGCCTGAAAAGGGAGAGGAGATCTGGGCTTGGGGATGCTCTGGAATGCAGCCCCCTTCCCTGCTGCTGCTTCTGCTGCTGCCGCCACCACCGTGTTTCCTAGTTGTCATGGCCAGAGGTGAGTTATGGGGTGTGAGAGGAGGGGGAGTCCATTTTCCCTTAAGAGGATGTCCAGTGGGGTGGGAGAAATAGAGCTGACCCCCAGGTTTTGAAGGGACACTAGATAGAAGAGATTTTCCCAAAAAATGCAGACAGCCTGTAGGGAGAGCCGACCGCCACAGAAGCTGCTCCAACCCAGGCTTTGGGCTGGGTGCCAGTAGGGACTGTTGGGGGGATGGGTGAGAGGGCGCCCATCCCCAGGGAAACCCAGTTAGCCCTGGAGCTAAGTTAAGTGTACTCTTATAACCACGTTGAGAAGGGCAGATCGACCACCTGCTAGGGGGGAAGATGAGAGGCGATCAGGAGGTGGAGATGTGGAAGGTCATGGGTCCACCATGTCCCTTTCCTGTCCAGCTGTCCCCACCCCCCGGAAGGCTTGATTCTGGGCCCTTCCTGGCCTTCCTGGAGGAAATCCCTTCAATGTCTCAGCCATTCACCTCCTGGGGCCCCCTTGCCCCCCTTCTGTTCCCTGTTGTCTTGCTTCCTAGGGATGGAGTCCAGGGCTGGACTTGGAAGGCTAGAGAGTAAACAGGAAAGGGGGGTGTTAGGGAGTAGTAACTGAGAGGCCTGGGATGGAAGGAACTGAGGCATGGGACCACACGTGGACTGGAACAGGGTATGATGGTAGTTTAGAGCATGCATGGGGGCTTGCTTTGAACAGGTCTCTTAGGAGCACCTGGAGGAGGAAGTGAGACACAAGCTCCATGGCTCCATCTCATTCTCCGTTTCCATCCATAGGGCTGCTGTGCGGAAGTTTTCCAGAACCCTGTGCCAATGGAGGCACCTGCCTGACCCTGCCTCAGGGGCAAGAGACCTGCCTGTGAGTGTACCTTGTGGGACTAGAAGACTAGAAAGAAATGGGGAGGGAGAGTGAGGGAAGAAAGGAGAATGAGGGGAAGTGAAGGAGATGAAGGGAAACAAATAAGGCAAGGGAGAAGGGTGGGAGAGAAGGGAAAGAGGGGCCAGTGATGTGAGTTTTCCTCTCTCCCTCCCACCCAGGTGTGCCCCTGGCTTCCTGGGCAAGACATGCAAGTTTCCTGACCCCTGCCAAGATGCTCAGCTCTGCCAGAATGGGGGCAGCTGCCAAACCCTGCTTCCCACCTCACCAGGCTCCTCTAGCTCCCCCTCTCCATTGCCCCCCAGCTTCTTCTGCAACTGCCCCACTGGCTTCACTGGTAAAAGGTGCCAGGTCCGCCTCCAAGACCCCTGTCTTCCCTCCTTCTGTTCCAAAAGGGGCCGCTGCCACATCCAGGCTTCAGGCCACCCACAGTGCACCTGCATGCCTGGATGGACAGGTAAGCTCTGGTGGGAGTGGAGTGGAGAGGACAGGCAACAGCAGTGGGCTAGGAAAGATGTGGGCTGGGAAAGATGGAACTGGACACCATCACCACTGTTGCATATGCTGTAAAGTGAGTTTCCTTGTCATTATCCAGGTCAGAGTTGCCAGGTCCAGATTAGGAAATCAGATCAGAGAGGCAAAGCAACTCATCCAAGAGCATACAACCAGTTTTGTGGCACAAAAAGATACCAATCTGAATCTCTTACCTGTAGAAGCTGGGTGCTTTTCACCTCCTCCAAGAAGGTCATCACTGTAGGGACCCCATCATTGCTACTTGGCCTTTTGGCTAAGATCAGGTGTTATAGGACCCCAGGTCCCAGTTTTCCCCGGGTAAGGCCAATTTGCAATATCCATTTTCAGTTTAGAAAATAAGGTTGCTCCAGATATAATCCTACCAAGGCATGGCAAAACTAAGGCAGGGGTGATGGAACAGGGTAAAGTGAGCACAGAAATAAAAGGAGGAAAATTCAAATATTCAATCCACAGGTTATCTGCAGGGAGATCAGAGTCATCTCAGATGGGCTGGAATTTGTGCAATGCTAGAAAGAGCTCCCTCTACCCTCTATTGCAGGTGAGCAGTGCCAGCTTCGGGACTTCTGCTCAGCCAACCCCTGCATCAATGGAGGCGTATGTCTGGCCACATACCCCCAGATCCAGTGCCGCTGCCCACCTGGCTTTGAGGGTCATGCCTGCCAACATGATGTCAATGAGTGCTTCCAGGACCCTGGACTCTGCCCTAAAGGCACCTCCTGCCATAATACCCTGGGCTCCTACCAATGTCTCTGCCCTGCAGGGCGGGAAGGTCCACACTGTGAGCTCCGAACAGGACCCTGCCCCCTGGCAGGCTGTTCAAATGGGGGCACCTGCCAGCTGGTGCCAGGGGGAGACACCACCTTTCACTTCTGCCTCTGCCCGCCAGGTGTGTCCTCATAGGTGCTTTTCTGTAGCCTCCTCCCCTTTCTGGGAAGGGAGGGTTGCCTCTTTTGGGTTCCTTCACCTGGCTAATCCCATGACTCTATCAGGCTTCACAGGCCTAGACTGCGAGGTGAATCCAGATGACTGTATTGAGCACCACTGTCAGAATGGGGGCATTTGCCAGGACGGACTGGGCACCTACACCTGCCTCTGCCCAGAGACTTGGACAGGTGAGTTGTTTAAGCCAAGTTAATGTCACCAGTGGCCAAGTCAGCCTGTGGCTTCCCTTCCTCACAGGACTCCCAGCTCTAGACCTTGTTCCTTTCCTACCTCCCTACAGGCTGGGATTGCTCTGAAGATGTGGATGAATGTGAGGTTCACGGTCCCCCTCACTGCAAAAATGGGGGTACCTGCCAGAACTTGCCTGGCAGCTTTCATTGTGTATGTGTGAGTGGCTGGGGAGGCACAGGCTGTGAAGAGAACCTGGATGACTGTGTTGCTGCTACCTGTGCTCCTGGATCCACCTGCATTGACCACGTGGGCTTCTTTTCCTGCCTCTGCCCACCTGGGCGCACAGGTATGGGGACTGAGGGGTGAGGGAAGAGTGAGGTAAAGGTGGAGGCTGAGAAGAACTGGGGGTCTCTTGGGAGGTCAATCAACCTTGCCCCCATCTGGCCCCTCCAGGCCTCCTATGCCACCTGGAAGATATGTGTCTGAGCCAGCCATGCCATGGGGAAGCCCAGTGCAGCACCAACCCCCTGACGGGCTCCACACTCTGCCTGTGCCAACCTGGCTACTCAGGGCCCACCTGCCACCAAGACCTGGATGAGTGTCAGATGGGTGAGGCACCCCACAGCAGAGCCTCTCTGAGCCCAGACAGGCCTCCGCACTGAACAGAGAAAAGGGGAAGTTGTTTCTTAAATTAAAAAAAGAAAGAAAGAAAGAAAGAAAGAAAGAAAGAAAGAAAGAAAGAAAGAAAGAAAGAAAGAAAGAAAGAAAGAAATATCTCTTTTTCTTTGGGTTGGTCCTGATGTGACATCTCTTCCCTACATGGCCCTCTCCCCAGTGCTTAGCCCTCCAGGCCTCATAGATTGTCCTCTTGGTCCTTCTCTATCCTAAAAATACAAGCCCTTTCCCCAGTTGGTCTTGCAGCCTCAAATGGGCCCTCACACCTCTCCTGACAGTTTGGCCTCTTTGCCCTTCCCATCCCTGGCCCCTGTGAACTCTCAGCTCTTCTCTCCTCCCAGCCCAGCAAGGTCCCAGTCCCTGTGAACATGGTGGTTCCTGCCTCAACACCCCTGGCTCCTTCAACTGCCTCTGTCCACCTGGCTACACAGGCTCCCGCTGTGAGGCTGATCATAATGAGTGCCTGTCCCAGCCCTGCCACCCAGGCAGCACCTGCCTGGACCTCCTTGCCACCTTCCACTGCCTCTGCCCACCAGGTATGGCTTAATGGGGACTTGGGTGGGGGAGAAACAACTAAGCTGAACCCACTGGGAATTGCCCCTAGAGAACAAGGATAGCATCAGTCCAACGGGCGTCACTTACTACAGGATGTTCCTCCTCTCCCTCCCCCCAAGTGAAAACGGAGACACCTATGGACCCTAGGAAAAGAGCTGCCACAGATAGTAGTGAGGTTGTACACTGCTCAACTCTGGAGGAGAGGGGCTGCCATTCCTTTCATGGTAATCAGAGACAGCACAACACATGGCCCACTGTACACTGTGGCCAAATAAGGGAGGATAGTTAATAAACTTTCCATGGTGAAGCCTCTGCTCATACTTACCTACAATGCTCTCCCTAATCACTCCAACTCTCCCATCCAGAGATAAAGAGTAAATCCTTAAAATTCCAAAAAGATCTGTGTGCTTGAATTTGATGCAGTAGGAAAGAAACACGGCAAGGGTGCAGGCACTTCCAGGCTAGTTTTACCAGGGAAAAGTCATTTGAAGAAAGAGAACTACAGAGCCAATACAGAGAGCTGGATGAAACCAGAAAAATAATAGCTGACTTTGTGCCAGTACTGTCTCTTACATGTATTATCTTATCTACTCTTTACACTAATCCTATGCAGTTGGCATTGTTACTATATCCATTTTATAAATGAAGAAACCAAGACATATAAAACGTTCAAGTGGTTTGTCCAAGGTCATGCAGTTAGTAAGTGGCAGAGCCAAGATTTAAACCCAGAGTTTCAACATTAACCACTACACTACACTACCATTCTAAGGTGAGCAATATCCAAGGTTTATGGCTCAGACCACACATAGATAAGTATACAAAAGTAAAGAAAACTGTCCAGTTTCTTTACTCTTATATACTTATCTATGTGTGGACAAGGTTGTAGACGTGAAGGAGGGTTGGAGGCACGCTCCCTAAGCAAGAAAAGGAAGGTAATGAGGTCCTTGTTCAAGATGAGACCATGGACATGAGGATGACCCCAAAGCAATGGGATAAATATGAGAGTAACACAGCTTCCCAAATGCCCTTCACATTCCCCCACATTGGGATTCCTGTTCACTTTAGCATGAAGACCTGCCATGAACAAGAGGAGTAAATCATGCTCCAGGCAGACACCCGCTTGCCTAATTTGTACATCAAAGACCTCCAGGTTAAGCAGCCTGCCTGGGTGGGCCCCACGCTGCCTTACCCGGAGATGGCCCCAAGAGGCACTTCTAGGATGCCCTCTTACAGCTCTCAACAGGAGCCCTCTTGCTTCCTGAGGCTTTCACACCTGAAGGAGGTAGCACTGCACACCACAGCAGAGCTCAGGGTTCATCTACCCAACCCATCGGCAGACAGCAGAGAGAGGGGAGGCCTGATGGGGACACACAGCAAGTTGCATGTGTGCTGGCTCTAGAACCCAGGTCTCCCAAGGAGAAGGGGGCAGGGCCAGCCTGGCAGAGCCCCACCCTCACCATGCTCCTCTGTTCTCAGGTTTAGAAGGGCTACTCTGTGAGGTGGAGACCAATGAGTGTGCCTCAGCTCCTTGCCTGAACCAAGCTGACTGTCACGACCTGCGCAATGGCTTCCTGTGTGTCTGCCAGCCTGGTGCGTGCAGATTCCAATCCAGCCATCCTCACCCTGCAGTGTTGGAACCACCAGAGTTCTGTCCTCTGGAAGTTCTCTCTAGCCTGGTCAAAGAGTTCCCCATTTCTCCAACTCCTCTGCTCCTCAAACTCTCTTCTGCTACATCCCAGATCTTTCCTTACTTACACACCCACCCTCATCTCTGACCTTCCAAATCACCCATATATCCCTCCTTTGCAGTCCTCCTGCATAGTCCTCTATGGACTCTGCATGTCAGGGGTCCCAGGCTGGTCTTGGCATTGCCTGCCCTGGACACAGGGAAAGCTGCCCCAGGTCTTTCTTTTCCAGCTTCCTGGAACATCCCTCTGGTACCCTGCTATGAAAATAATTACATTTATTGACTATTTACTCCAGGACAGGCACTTGACTTTGTGCTTTGGAGGCATTATGTCATTTAATCTTTTCAATGGCAACATAAGGTAGGCTCCTCTTTATTTATTTTTCCAGTGCTGGGGATCAAAGCCAGTATCTCATGCACTCACACATGCTAGGCAAGCACTGTGCCACTGAAGCTACACCCCCAGTCTAGGTTCCATTTTTTGCTCCTTTTACAGAGGAGGAAACTGGGAGCTTAGAAAGTTTAAGTAGCTTGCCCAAAGTCACACAGCTGGTAGGTGGCTGAGCTTCACGTTTTCTGCACCATCCTTCTGTTGATCCATGCCCAACTACCCAGGTGTCTTCTCTGGGAAGACCTACAGGTTCACCTTTCCTGGCAAGAAAGAGCTAAGCTGTGTCTTCCTCAATGACCTTGGCCTTCTCTCCCCATCTACTCCCTTCCCCACTAGGATTCACTGGCACCCAGTGTGAGGAAGACATCGATGAATGCAGAAGCTCTCCCTGTGCCAATGGTGGTCAGTGCCAGGACCAGCCTGGAGCCTTCCATTGCAAGTGTCTCCCAGGTAAACTGGGGCCCAAACACGGGAGGAAAGGGTGGCAGGGGGCAGAAGTCTCTGCAGTCCCTGATTCTCCTCCTCTGCCATAGGCTTTGAAGGGCCACAGTGTGAGACAGAGGTGGACGAGTGTCTGAGTAGCCCATGCCCCAGTGGAGCCAGCTGCCTTGATCTCCCAGGAGCCTTCTTTTGCCTGTGCCCCTCTGGCTTCACAGGTCAGCAGGGAAGTTGTTAGAGAATAATTGAGTCCATTTGGCATGGGACAGTAGTCATTGGTGGGTGTTTGAGAGTCAGGATGTGAAACAGATAAGAATGGCACCCCTTAAAGTAACTCAGGGCAAAACCTTCACAACTGTGGATGTTATTAAAGAGCCACATTTATCCCAACATGAATGGGTATAATTAGGGCTCAGGAGCAGAGATTGGGCTCAAAGGGGAGCCATTCACTTTTTTATATAGCAAGTCTTTATTAACACTGGGGATGTGACTCAGTGGTAAAGTACTGGCATGAATGAGTGCCTGGGTTCAATCCCCAGCACCATACAAATAAATAAATAAATGCTTACTATGCCAGTCATAGAAGCAAGTTTGAGTAAGAAGTTGCTATCCTCAAGTGGTTTTAAGTCTAATGCATAGACCAACAAGTCTCCTGTTGGTATGGCCCAATGGCCCTGAGAGAGGAGAACCCACTAACCCAGACTAAAGGTGAGAACTCTTCATGGAGTTCAGAGCAGAAAAGGGCCTGCATGGAGGAGATGATGGCTAGGCTGAATTTTGAGAAATGAGCAGGAGTTTGTCAAAATAGAATGCCAGATAATGTGTTTTAGTTGGAAATCACTGTGTTTATAAAAGCACAGGGGAAATAAAAGCACCTTTCATTTAAGGAACTGCATGAGATCCAGAGCTTAGAGTGCAACAGGGCAAAGATGAGAAACACAGCAGTTGTAGGAAGGTCATGTCACACCAGATCCCATATGACAGGAAGTTAGTATCCTGAAGGTAACGGGAAGTCATTGAAGGACAGGTCTATGGGGAGTGAGTTAGTCATACATAAGTAGCCTTTGGTCCCCTCAAGGGCATAAAAGGGTTTTGTTTTCTATCTGACTCATATCCCCACCCCAGGCCAGCTCTGTGAGGTTCCTGTGTGTGCCCCCAACCTGTTCCAGCCTGAAAAAAAATGCCAGGATCAGGAAAACAAGATCCACTGCCTCTGCCCCAGTGGAAGCCTTGGCTGTGCCCCTGCTGAGGACAACTGCACCTGCCACCATGGGCATTGCCAGAGGTAACATCTTCCAGGCCCTCCATTTGCCCCTTTTCTGGTCCTCCTTAGCTATGGTAGGAGAAAAAGCAAGTGAGGAACATGTCTGTGGGAAATGACCAACGGCGACTATGAAGGAGATGACCAAGTTCTTAGGGCAAGTCGAT